TATATATATATATATATATATATATATATATATATATATATATATATATATATATATATATATATATAATAAATTTTTTTTATAGTTTTTTCATATGACATATAAGTGAAATTTTTTTTTTTTTTGTAATAGTTAAATTTTAATTTTAATTTTGAATATTTATTTAGTTATTCACATTTGTATACTTAAATTTATGAATAATATTTAATTTTTACATAAAGATATATTTTTTTATTTTATCATGATTGTAGAGGGTAATTATAGATTATCCCCTATAGTTAACTATAATTAGTATATCGGTCTTTATACTTTAAAAAATAGTATTGAAATTCTTATACTTATGAAAATAAAACATTTAATCTCACTTCTTCTCACATCATTAATTTCGTCGATAGAAAAAATTGCATGTGTTGTCACATGCAAAAAAAAGGCACGAATGAAAAAGATATAAAAATAATTTTATTATTTTTAAAATTATTAATTTTATATAAACTTCTCACTCACAACGTGGAGGCTTTCACAAAAACCGCTTTCCTCTCCTCCGATTCCCTCTACTTCGGTTGTGCTACGAGCGGTAGGCGTTGATGGCATGCGAGGTTGGTGGCGTTTCAAGTAGATATGGGTGTCACCTTCGACCATGATCGATTTTCTCCTGCCATCCTCTTTCTAACCTACTCACCCACCGCATTTGCTCGCCCATCACCCCTCTATTGATCCTGTTCGCCCGCCACACCTGCTTACCCGTCACTTTGTTTGTAGAAGTAGAACCCTACTTATGTAGTGATCATCTTCTTATCGTTCCACCAATGGCCGATGTTGAGAACCACATCAATGTCGACCTAATGCTTGCATTGTCAATGTAGGGGCATTGAGATGGATGGCAACACGAACGTGATCAAGGGAGGCCAAGGGAGGGTGATTGACAGTTGCAAGGAAGGGCATGGTCAAAGGAAGGTTTTGTCACCTGCAAAGTGCGCTCACACAACAGACACCCTATGCTCATCGGCAAGTGATGTCCTCCTCAACAAAGAAGGCAAAAAGGTGAACAGGAAATCAAAAGACTAACGGTGTTGACTCCCTTGCTGTGACATCATACTCCTTTGAGTCATCGAGCAACGACATTGCTATCGTCATCGCCAGAGACGAGGACACATGCTCCTCCAACGATGTTGCCTCCACCTTTTATTTTGATGTCTTTGATCATCTCATCCAGCCAGTTATTGATGAGGACGAGGCTGAGGAGGAGGGATGCATCTCATTGGAGCTAAGCATCACCACACGACAGCTATTCTCTCTAGTCGCAAAGGTTGCTGCGATGTAGCGTCATGTAACCGTGGACTCGTCCTCCTCCTCCTCTTTCAGTTTTGACATTGTTGGCTTCTAAAAGGGAATGACAGATGGTTTGGCGGAGTTGGAGGCCAACCTCCTGCAACGACAACAACAACAGCAGGTGAAGAAGAGCAGAAGAGGACTAAGGTCTCATAGTTTATAATATCATGGAGTCACCTACCGAAGGACCAGCCTCACGTGCTATCGACGTTGTCGTTGGTCTATTGTCCACAACGCGACCGAAGGGGAGGAAAGTAGTTTTCGTGAAAGCCTCACGCTTCAAGTAAGAAATTAATAATTTAAAAGATAGTAAAATTATTTTTTTATTCTTTATATTTGTGCACTTTTTATATGTAACAACACATGCGATTTTTTTTTTCAATGAAGGTAATGACGTGAGGAGAATTGGAGTTAAAGATCTCAATGCTACTTTTTAAAATATAAGGATCGGGATACTCATCATAGTTAACTATAAGAGGTAATCTATAATTACCCCTGATTATAATTATCATATAAGTTTTTCTTTATGCTGATTAATATTTATTAATTATTATGATAATTATTTTATTATTATTAAATTGTTTATACATAAATTATATTAATAAAAATTTTATAAATTTTATTTATAACTTATATCTCTAAAACTTATCTAACTAGAAGCTACCAATGCGACCTAGGATAATAGGATTCTGGGGTGTTATTTATAAGAAATATTTTATCATTTATATGTTATTTTAATTTATAATTTATATTCTTGTGTTAGTTTTATAGTTGCCAAAATGATTTGGACTAATAATTTATAAAAAATATATTAAAAATAAATCTTAAGTGATATTAAAGAATTTGAATTATATGATGGGACCGAATAATACTATTTTGGATATGTTTGATTGTATACCCAATAGTAGCAATAATATTTCACAAAGATAGTAATAATCTTTCATAATTATAATATTTTTGAGTGAATACTAGATATATCAATATTTTACCAAAAGATGAAATACGAATAATATTAATAGTTCATCATATTATTAGAAACTCAAAACATCATCATTATTTTATTTTTGTTTGTTATAGTAGTTTTTTCTTGCATCCATTCATATGTTTCTAGTATTCCTATAGTCTCTTGTTTAAATTATTCAAAATAATTAGAATATATGTATTAAATCTTGATCTAGCCTTGCTTATTGAAAGACTTGCATGATGAAAATATTATGAAATAAATTAATGAAATATATATTTAAAAATGATCTAATAGATACCGTATATATAATATTCATAAGAATAATAATTATAAATAATATTAAAACTTCTTTATCGCTTGTCACCAGAACACATGAATATTTGAGGATTATTAAAAATAAATTTAAATATACTAATAAGTCATTGGCTGACATGGCTCGTACTCAAAGGATTCAAGATCATATTCACATGGTTAATAAGACTATAAAACTTAAAGCATGTAGTTAATTCTTAATTATCTTTCTTCTAACTTATTCAATATTCACTATAATATATATAATAATAAATAATAAATATAAAGAATAAACTGACTAGTATATATATTTAAGAAAATTTAAGATAATAAGATAACTTTCTTCCTACGCCTCCGTTGCCTCACAAAGCAAAGGAAGGGAAGGGGGCAACCTATGATCATGTTGTCATTAGCTCTCCTACCTCCTTCCTATCCTCTATTTCGTGAGTTAATAGAGGCATAGGTAATGAGCTACCTTATTGTCACTAATGATATAAAAGAACAATGATTGTTTGTCGCTTAGGATGAAGAGGAAGAGTAAGATAAAAAAAGGACAAACAATGAGAAAGCGAGAAAAGGCACGATCGACATTGGTCGGGTGGAGACAATGGCAAGGAAGTGGAAGATATTTTTTAGACTTAAAAAATAGGATGCTATTTGAGGGAAAAAAAAAAAGAAAAAGAAGGGCGTTATCTTAGAAAAACAAAAGGAGAAATATTTTCAGAAAAACCGGTCAAAGAAAGACGGAAATGAAAAACAAATGAAACGGTATCGTGTTCCGTTGACTTACTTTCCGAGATGGTATCGTCTTCCCTCTGTCTCTCTCACTCCCTTCCATTTCTAACATTGCTTCAGGAGCTCCATTGAAATGGCGCGGTGGGCCACCGTCATTCAGCTCTTCTCTCTCGCCACCTACGTTGGCCCTGTCGTTGAGAAGATCACCGAGAAGGCCGTGGAGGGCGGCGTCAACGGCCTGCAGTGGGTCTGGGCCAACCTCGAGGCCCTCTTCGACGTGGAGGCTGAACTCGACAAGCTCCGCCGCACCGCCAAGCGCATCAGCGCCATCCTCAAGGACGCCGAAGAGACCCGCTTCATCGAGGACCAGACCGTCCGCGAATGGCTCTCCGACCTCAAAGACTTCGCCTTTGACGTCGAGGACCTCGTCGACGAGTTCCCGACCGTCCTCGATATCGCCAAGCTCGAGAAGGCTCGTCTCTCCCCTGGCTCCCGGAAAAGGAGGCGGCCGTGGGACATTCTTCCTCCTTGTCTCACTTGGGTCTACCGTAAATGGACGATCTCGGTAAAGATCAAGGAGATCAAGGAAAAGTATGAGGAGATCAAGCAGCGCAGGAATGATTTCCAGTTAAGAGAGGGAGAATCGAGGAGGAGACGACAAGACAGCACACAACAAACTCCTCAACATTCTGGCTCGCTTCGTGGCGACTCTCTAGTTTTGGGCTTGGAGGAGAAGAAAAATGATATTTTGAAGCATTTGAGTCAGGGCGGCGGTGTGAGTGGCGCCCCTAATTCTTCCCAAAGAGAGGGGAGAAGTGTGCCTGTCGTTGCCATCATCGGACCAGGAGGAATCGGGAAGACAACTCTGGCCAGGCTTGTCTTCAGCGACGAGGAAATCGAAAGATCTTCTTTTTTGAAGATCTGGGTTGGTGTTTCGCGCGATTTCGACGTGTGTAGGATCACAAAAGAGATCATTAAATCGATCACCGAAAAGAGTTGCTGTGGTTTGAGCTTGGATTTGCTGCAGCGTAAGCTTCGGGAGCTGGTCCTCGGAAAGAAGTTCTTGCTCGTGCTTGATGGTTTGTGCAACAACGACCTTTCGTTCTGGGACACGTTGCAGGCTCCTCTGATGGTCGGAGGCGAAGGTAGCAGAGTCCTGGTCACCGCCCGGAGTGAGCAGGTTCTGACATACATGCGCCCACGCCCTTCGTCCATAATATGGTTGAATGAGCTGGGTGAAAACGATAGCTGGCTCCTGTTCTGCAGCTACGCATTCCGACAAGCACCTACCGATCATGACGTTGGTAGAGAAATTGTGAGAAGGTGCCATGGTTTGCCCTTGGCAATTATCTCGATCGGTGGCCTCTTGTACTCCAGAACTGAAGAAGAGTGGAGGAGTATCCTCAGCGACATACCAGATCCAGAAGACGAAGCTCATGGCATCTTGTCGACATTAAAGGTAAGCTATGACTATTTGCCCTTGCATCTGAAGCAGTGCTTTGCATTCTGTTCCATATTTCCTAATGGTTATGAGTTCGACAAAGAGGAATTGGTAGAGTTCTGGGTCGCAGTGGGCTTAGCCAAACCTAGGGACGGCAGATCAGCAGAATATATTGGGTATAAGTACTTTGATTCTCTGCTCCGATGGTCATTTTTCCAGGGTTGTAATGGTCGTCACCACCAGAAACAGAAGTACAAAATGCCTGGCCTAATTCATGAACTAGCACAATCTGTTTCTGCACATGAATGTCTAAGAATCGAGAATGATGCATCATTCAGTGAATCTGAGAATGCACGCTATGCATTGTCATGTAACTTCCCCATGGAGCTTCCAATATTTCAGAAGTTATATCAGAATAAGAAACTTAGAACATTTATATTGCTCGGTGAAAATGGCACTCCCACAAAGCAGGTGCCGCGTGATCTTTACACGAACCTAAGATGTCTAAGGGTGTTAGATTTGAGGAGAAATGAGTTGACAGAATTGCCAGATTCGATTGGAAATCTTATTCACCTGAGGTACCTTAACCTTTTAGGTACTCAAATTGAGAGGTTGCCTGAATCATTGAGCAGCCTCTACAATCTGCAACTGCTAGAACTTGGTGACTGTAAGAAGCTTGTGGAGCTACCCAGAGGCATGAGCAACTTAATTAATCTACGATATCTGGGTCTGCATCTAGATTGGGAAAACTGTAGACATAGATGGAGTGATATTGTTATGCCACCAGGACTTGGCAGATTGACTTCTCTGCATACTCTTTCAAGGTTCTCAGTTTCCTCGGAGAGCGGAGGCGGGATAAGTGAACTGAAGGGCTTGAAACTTCGAGGAGAAATTTGCATCTCAAAGCTTGAAATTGTTGATGTGAGGGATGCCATGGAGGCCAGTTTAGGTACCAAACAACATCTCGAAACTATGATGCTGCAATGGACTAACTGCAGAAGCCCTGCTTCACAAAGTGGAGGTGGAAGGGATGTGATCGAACAGCTCTGCCCAAATAGCAACCTCAAACACCTATGGATAGAAAATTACAAAGGTGCTGAATTCCCGAGCTGGCTTGGAGACCAGTCCATGAATTTGGAAACATTAAGACTTTATGGTTGTGAAAGATCGGAGAGGCTCCCACCTGTAGGAAGGTTGAGGAATCTCAAACGTCTGTTCTTGGAAGGACTGCACACAGTCACAGACCTCGGTTCACTTTCTGGTGATGGTAATTTTGCAGGATTTCCATCATTGGAGATGATCACCATATCAAATTTGAAGAATCTCGAGAGGGGGTTTGAATTAGTACAAGATGAAATGCCTTGCCTCAGAAAGCTGGTCATATCAGACTGCTCCAACTTACTACAACTTCCACAACTTCCAAACTCGCTTGAAGACATTGAGATTAGAGAATGTCCAGCATTATCTACTCTACCTATGCTTTCGTCTCTTCAACAATTGGTGCTCACAAAATGTGGACTTGAAATAATTGAATCGATTCATCAGTTCACCTCTCTTTCTTCTCTGACCATTTCCCAATTTCCACGACTTGGATCTATAACAAGAGAGCACCTTCAAGACCTGAGGTCCCTTAGGAAACTGAAGATTGACCACTGTGACAATTTTGTTTCACTTTCTTCTCAGCATCTTGTTTCTCTTGAAACTTTGGAAATATCTCAATGTCATGCATTTTCTTCCTTGGCTGGAGAGGGACTGCCAGCCTCGCTCAAAGATCTTCGACTACAGTCTTGTGGCAACCTCACATCTTTGCCAGAGGAAGGAATGTCTGCCTCACTGCAGCACTTGGCCATTGGCGGATGCCCAACTCTAGAACAAAGATGTCAAGTAGGTGGAGGTGATTGGCACAAGATACAGCATATCCCCCTAAGAGAAATTGGTGAGAACTCTACAGTCTAAGCTAGGGTTTGCGAAGGCCCCAGCACAAATTTAGGAAACTGATACGAAGGTATGTATTGTTGCTTTATATAATCTACCAATCCTTTGTTTCTTTATTTTTCTTTTAGTACACAAGTCTCACATATATTGAATTATAACAAGCATGTCAATAGAAACATAAATGATATGTATATGTTACTCTCACTTCATGATATGATTTGTGATGTCTATACTTCATAAATATGATAAATGACATGCTCATGTTTTCTACTTTGAAGATTGAAGTATATGTTTTCCAAAAATATCATTTTTAGTATTCTATGAAATATTGACTAAGCATGCATTAATATTAATGTTTACGTTAAATATAGTGCAACAACCCAATGTGTACTAGCAAACTTGAATATAAGGTTAAGTTATGATAATAAGTATGCATATAGTGACTAGAAGTTGTAGATGAATTTCAATCAGCCTTAAATAAATCTTAAGACTTGAATGAGTTTGAACACGATTAAAGTAAGGAAGTTTAAGTTTTAGACCTTCTGTATGTAGAAAATAATAAGCTACTGAAGCATGGATAAAATAATAAAAAATTCAATGGAGATATAAATTAAAGAAAAGTGTGATACTAAAAATACTGAGATACATAAGTGAGATTCAAAGATGAATTTAGATTAAAACATGGTATTATTGTCAAACTAAATTAGGCTCAAATTGGCTCAAATTGACTTATATGGATATATAGAGACATTAATAAAAATTTCAGATTAGATATTATTATTTTAAAATTTTTCTTAAGCAAAGCTATCATGAGATTTGAAGTTGGTTATAATTTATTGTATCAAGCAATGCTTCGAGGTCTAATGGAAAGTATTAGTTTCAAAGATATTTTTTAGGGCTTTTGATAATTTAAGTTATCTTAATTATTTAGTATAGAGCAGAAATATTTATATTTGAGAATCAGTCCTAATATGGATAATGTGTTGAGTTTTTATATAAGTTTTAAGATATTAAGTCATAAGCGATATTATGATAAGATTGATGACATGAATATATATTAATCTTGATTAATTTCACGATTAGATACGTGAAGTTTGTAGAACTAAACTTTTTATTTAGAGGGAAGAATGTAATATTTTTATCTTTCTGAGGACCTATTTATAAATATAGATATTATAAGGATTAAATTACAAAAGGTACAAAAAGGAAAAAAAAGGGAGGGGAGAGGGGTTTCTTCCCATCTCCTCCCATGCATCTCTTAACAGCCTTTGCCTTCCTCACGAGGAAAACAGAGACTGCATCTATGGGAGAGAAGGGAAGCATCTCTTAATAACCTTTGCCTTCCTCACGAGGAAAACAGAGACTGCACCTATGGGAGAGAAGGGAAGAACAGAGACTGCGTCTATGGGAGAGAAGGGAAGAATAGATAAGAAGGAAAGAGAAAAAGAGAAGGGAGTAAGGAGAGAGGAAAAGGAAGAGAAGGGAAGAGTAGAGTAGAAGAAAGAGAAGGAGAAGGGAGAAAAGAGAGAGAGGAAAGGAAGAGAAGATAGAAGCATTGGATTGTGAGATTAGAGAAAAAAAGAGAATAAAGAAGGAAAAGGAAAAGAAAAGAGGAAGAAGGAGAAGGGAGGAAGAAGAAGAGAGGAGGAAAGATAGATCTATGGGAAGAAAGAAAGAAAAAAAGGAATGAAAGAAAGGAAAAGAAAGGAAGAAAAATATAAAAAAAGATAAAAGAAAAGAAAACTTAAGAGGAGGTTTAATGGGATTGAACCATAGATCTCAAGCTATTCTCATGGAGACCAAGAAACCCTAGCCCTAGGGAAGAAGAAGGTTTACCGCTCCCTAGCACACTCGATCATTAAGGAATGTAACCTTTCACTAGCATATTCATTTTTTGAGTTAAATCAGGTAAGTATAAGCTTAATTCACGATAAAATAGTGATCGTATATAGTATCATATACATAATGCATTTTAAAAAGTATATTTGGAATGATATGATCATCATGATCTAAATATAAATGTATGTATCTTGTAAGCATAAAAATATGTGAATTATGATAAAAATGTCTTATATGCAAGCATATATGATCACGTGCGGTGTGGGAGTCCAAGGATATGTTTCGACGTGCAATATACGTATACTATGACGTGCAGTATAGGAGTGCACGTATGCATTATGACGTGCAGTGTGGGAGTATACATATGTATTATGACATGCAATGTAGAAGTGCACGTATTTATTATAACATGTAGTATAGGAGTGCAAGTATATATTATGACGTGTAGTGTGGGAGTAATTATGACGTGCAGTGTGGGAGTGTACGTATATATTACGATGACGTGTAGTGTGGAGGTGTATGTATATGTTATGATATGAGATATAGAAGTATATGAATTTGCTATGTTTCATACATGTGCATAGCATTTCGAATTATTCCGATGTAGAATTTTGTCTTGATTGTACATATACTATGTTGTAGGGTTAAGCTTGCTAAAGAAGTCACAGGATGAGGTGTCTATTTTTAATTATCTTATGATGATGATTTTAAAATATAATATACATGGAATGATGTATGCTCATATGAATAAAACTATAAAGATTTATACTTACTGAGTGATTACTCACTATAGACCCTCTTTTGCATATAAGGATATTAGTACCCCACCTAAATGATCGGATAGGGAAGTGAGCACATGCAAGCCCATGCTAGTGTAGATATGAACGATGGACTATGGACATTTTATGTGTATAAATTTTGGACATGTTATATTTGGGTTTTCTTTTGGTTAGATATTATAATCATATACAAGTGTCAAAAATAATATGTACATGAGAAACCTTATCATTTTGTTTAATAAGGTAGCATGTTTTAATTTTAAGATTACCTACTTTGGGTTGTATTCATATCAATAGTAGTAATGAAAATTTGAAATATTGTATCCTACTTTAATCATACATATAAGTTACGGGTGAAACTAGGTGTATAGTATCACACTTTCTTTCTTAGGGGTTTGACAGATCTACCCTTTCAAAGTTTAAAAATAATATATTTGTTCCATCAAAATTTAAACTTGCATATATATGCATCTAAATGTTTAGACCTTATATATAAATATCTTTAAATATATAGATTCTTATGTGTGTCACTCCCGTTAGCATGCTTCCAATCAAGTCATGGTGAGTGAGTAATCTTTGTGGTTTGAAAGCACATGCTATTCAATGGCACACTATTAACCGTGGCTACTGGTCAATTTTAAAAATATTAAAATTTTAAAAGAACATAACACATGCTTTAATATACGACAAGGATAAAATAATGGACAAACATTCGAGAACTTAAATTTAAAGGGACAAATAGAAAAACTACTAATTTTTAGGAATATATGTAATATTTTTAGAGGATGTTAATGGCATTTGGAGTTTCAACATTGGTACACTAATGGTGAATAGTTGTAAATTTCTTTGTGCAACTATCCCGTCTAGGACTTCCCCAACATTGGTACAATATATGTAATATTTACGAAGGATCATATACATTGATCGACTCTCTCTTTTCCTTTTCAAATTTTGATAATCATAATTCTTTACATTGTCATCCATTCATGGTGTAAGAAGTTGCAATGAGAAAAAGATTTGTTTAGAGCCACTCCAGAAGATGCATTCTGGTGGTGTTATCAATTTTTTTAACTTAGATGAGATTTAGCTCTGATTCTTGGCAAATAGAGGCACATAAGTTTTGAAACGATCAATTACCTCGTATTATCAAGAAGGAAACTCATTTGTACTGTGTATTTCTTGAGCTTTGTTTCGTTGTATCATGAATTGGAAAGTCTTAGAATGTAGTGCGACATCATTTCATCATCTTTTGAGCAAATTAGTCAATGTACTGTGAGAGCCTCATACAACTGACAGAAAATATGCATTTGTGAGGTGCATTTCATAACTGGCATATGCGCAATAAAGCTCTCGAAAGCATCGTTTTTGTTTACTTGTCAAGCTAAAGTTGTGGTGATATACCATCCGGCATGTTCTTGTTTTGTCATGCCAAATACACACCCATACCTTCATTAGCCACTATGCATATTTTGCAGAGATTATTGGCATTGGGTATGTCTTCAGTGGCGGCCTATAATCATTCTTACTATCATTGATTAAACTTCTGACCCAGATTGAATTAGGTTGTTACAAGTTCAGGTTAGGCTTTTGGTTGAACTAAGTCTATTGCTGGTCTTAATGGAAATTTTCTTGGACATAATATTTGATGGGTTTAGAGGCTGAATTTCTAGTAAAAACTAGTTTGGAACTATGTTTCTGGATATAATTCGTTTGATTGACTGACTTGATTCATTGGGATGATTACATTGGATGCGTTTGAAAGGAACAGAAAAATGGTTAGGAGTTGAATTGAGTCAACTTGGTCTTTTCTGAACTGTCCAAACTATGCAAAAATGCTTCACAGAAATCAGGGACTGTCAAGTCAACTTGTTCTTGTTTGGAGTGTCTAAATTTGGTCTCACAGAGGCCAAGCCTCACAGAGAGGTGGTTTCAGATGAACATAGATTAGCAAATGCAGAATATGTGCATAAGACAATACCATGTTCAAATCTCTGTTCTACAAAACATGGAACTTTATAAGAAAAAAACTGTCCAGTTACATGAGTAAATTGAGATCCATGCATATTCATCAATCTCAATTGCAATGTTGTTTACCAGTGATATGGTTTTTATCTGCCAACTTTTCAAAAATTCACAATACAAAGGGAAAATAGGGTCTAATGCCAACCTATAATTTTACCTTTTACTTGCCAGCACACCAACCAAAAGCTGTCCTTTGTATTGCTTGGCCTAATCTCTTATATTGGGAAATTTTGTGAAAATAGAATTCTGTTGCCAGAGGATATACTTTATTCTGATTTTATGCACACAGCTGCACTAAACAAAGAAGAGACATTATATCATTTATGCAAAGTCATTCATATGGATCAGCGGATGTGAAACCCCTGATTCAGCAATTGTGGTGTCCTTGCAGTTCAGTTGTTCTTTCATCTCGTCTGCTGAAGAAATCTTGGTATCTACTCTTCTGGGAGATTCAGCATCACTCGAGGGAGATGAATCAGATGAGGATTCTAACTGATGTTCGGTTACTGAGAACTCTGGTTGGAGAACAGAAACATGGGATTGTTCTTGGAAGAAGACAGAAGAAGCTGATTCCATGAAAGCAGACATCTTCTGATCATCCTCTTTCATCTTTTCAGCATACTTGTTGAGATCAAACCCGGCTGGATTATGGCCCCCGAATGCAGATTCCAGTTTGTCCATTTCGAAGAGGTCAGTCATTATTTTCTGGCTCTCGGTGTTATCAGAGTAAACAAATTTCACCTTTCTGTATGTCTTATGCTCAAGAAAGGGCTTCACCACCTGCAAAATAGGAGAAGAGGCAGAAATAAACTTTTACACATAAGGAAATCTAAAAGATGTAAAGCTGTTAAATTTCATCCAAATGCTTTAAATAGACATATATGTATTGTATACACACATATATTTATATGTTATTTAGAGACAAAAAACCAGAGGTATATGATTTTTTTTGTTCTAGCATCACTTTTGGATAATCTATGATTTTGTTTTTGTTAGTTTACTCCAAGAAAAGTAGGTTTTGTGGATGATATAGCATGTGAAATTAAGGCCATACCTTCCAAAATGATTCAAAAATCCTTGGAGGATTATACAGGATTCCCAGTCCCAGCCTTTCGGGATAGTAGTCCTGCAAAATATGCGCTGTTTCACGAGTCACTTTTACTGATACACTTGCCATAGTCCAGCCTTGAAAATCTATGAGCCACACCATTTGCTCCTGATTTGCTGCTAAATTGAAAATGGCATTCTCCATACAGTAGACCAGGTATCTGATTTGTCCTTTACTTGAGCTAGTATTCTGCTCAAGTTTTCATATCGTATCAAGATCTAAACAATGAAATCTAAAATTGAATACTCAAAAATATGTTACTTTGGCTACTCGAACCTGAAATCCAGGCCTCATAACAAGAACAGCTCTTCCATTCTTGTCAAGGTAGTCAGCCCTGTAGATTTTTCCAGTCTCAGCTTCATGAGCAACATCCTCCTAGAAGATGGAAAGGGAGTTTCATTGGTATCATGTGAAAAAGTATGAACATGGGTTAGTAATCTTAAATTTGTTTAGTTTATTTATCATTTCAAGTCGCATGTCAAAGTTCCTTAACACAATTTGCATTTCACTCAAGCTTCCATTATAAGATTCAATGAACATTGAGGTATAATTTGTTACAGTATTCTCATTAAATTTCTTAGTTTCTTTCCAGAAATATATCTGATAATTATAGTACTTTAGTCAATATATTCCTCATGGTAATCTTAAGTAGGTTATTTCTACTCTGTGGAGGATTGAAGTTAATTTTCATGATTTATCAGGTTCTTGAAGTACCTTTGTAGACCAGATGAGCACTTTAACTAGACTGGCACATCTTTACAAAAAGAAATATACGCATACCCAGCGAATGGTTTCTGGCTTATATTCCAATCTCCACTTCAGAGATTCCTTCAGCATCTTACTTGCCCTTTCCACATTCCAGTTTCTTGCACGTAGATACCTCGATACCGAAGCATCTGAACAGAAGTTTGGAAGCATATTGACCATTGCCCCCAAGATTTCACGAACTTCATTTATCTAAATGGCAGGACACATGACCAATTTTCTCATCAGAAGGAATACTGGATGTTGAAAAAGATTACGGTAGTCATAGGTGCTATAGACTACATAGTATACGCATTTGAGATATTTTCAGTCACAATAAAGTAAACAACATATTGAAAAACAAAAGCATTCACAAAGCACACTTACCTTAGCTTTCTGCTCTTCGATGGACAAGGATTTCTCAATGCCATTCCCTTTTGATTTTACTATATTCATGCTCACACAATTGACCAACTGTAGGAGGCTTCAAGAACAAATTTCCAAGTAAATGCATTAGCATAAAGTATTAAGAATTTGCACTCATTTGCTAAAGAAATTGCATAAAATAAGTAGCAACAGCTCTCAAACATAATTTAGTTGCATAATGACCAATTTCTAGGCATTTATTTATGTTGAGGAAAGATTGAGAAGTAAAAGATAGAAAGACTTATCCAACACTTATTCCTCATACAAAGTAGAAGTCAGAACATATATTCCCGGATGTATGTTCAGATCTGGGAATATTGTGTAGCATAATACTATTTAAGCATAAGTGGCACGTTCTGACCAAAGCGACCATGATGAACCATAGTGATCGACATGTACGGTACTAGAAACATGATTCATGCTAGGCACAGGATTCGTACCTAATGGGATGGACATGTGAATACCAACGGCATGCACTGGTGGCACATTGTACCCCCCATGCTAGTGAAACTAAAATCACTAAATCAATTCACATACAAAAATGATTTTGATAGCTTTTTTTTATTTCCATCATAGATACGTATAGATGTTTCATATGATACAAGCATCCATCTGAATTAAGTTAGATTTCTCGAGTTCTGTGGTTCATGAGTGTCTTTAGCTGTGTGTGTGCCTTTTGTCGTCTGCTATATCACAATCTTTTTATTCTAAAATTAGATATCTGACAATCATGTTCCAACTCACTTTTCTGATAGATCAAGTTGAATAGCTAATCCATTATTTCATTTACAGGTGGTGTATGATTAAAAGAGAGTTCAAAATTCGCTTGCACCCAACTATTATGCAACTGCAGTTGCTGGATGAAATCGAACATCTAAATGCCATTTGGAATGTGAAAATTTCAGAAGACTGAAACAGATTGTGTAAATAGAACAATGGAATCATGACAAAGGGCATCAAAACTATACAGTTGAATGATCTGGTATCCTGATCGCTTCTGAAGAATTGTATCAAGGAAGTCAATAAGCAATTGTACAGACAGGACTAAGGTGAGTTAGCAAGATCAACTAGCTGAAGCTACATTAACACTTGTGAATTGAACCTTTTCTCTTGTCTTTGTTTCAGGATCTATGGATCACCAATCATGGAAAAAGATAGGATCGATTTTTTTCTAGAGAGAGAGTGAGAGATTGATTGATGGTGAGCAGCTGGAGAAGAAAACACTGCAGATTAGCTCGTGAGGTGATGGGACTTGAAACAAAATAAGAGTCACCAAGCAACAGCTGTGGAAAGCTTGATGTGCAATTAAGTTAGAGGTCACCACTGACATGGAAAGTTACAGCTACACATAATAGCTGCAGATGGTGCAATGATGGATCACGGCAAAATCTCAAAACTAGGTCATGTGAAGAAGATTCATGCTTTCTGGCTTCCTCTGCTCTTCCTTCTCAACGAAAAGAAAGGAGGTTCTCTTGATACAAGAGATCAATCAGCCTATGAAGGCATGGCAAAGACCTCACTTAAGATCCTTACATCACATGGATCAATCAAGAACATGGAGCAAGAAACCAAGTTGCAGACCTCACCAATCAACGCTTTCCTGTTGTGGAGCTCAAAGAATCATGTGATGATGGATCCTCCTGGCCTTTCACTTGTTACAGGTGCAGGATTACAGAGGAGGGAAGACTACAGCGGGGAACTTGGTGAGACAAAGACGCAATGGATAGAGAAGAAGACGAACAAGAAGAAGAAGAAGAAGAAGAAGAATGGTGGAGATGGTGGCAGAAGTCCTGTCCGTGATTTGACCCGTGCCGCGGACGCTTTCCTCTTCCTCCAGGCGTTTGACTCGAAACACGATTACTTTTCACTGCCCTACCTTCGTCTTAGTTGGAGCGACGGCATTGGTTCCATGTGAGCCCACCATGAAATCCTACAATCACAAGGAAGGTAAAAGACGCAGGTGAGAAATAGAAACTGATATGCGTATGACTTTGGCCTTTGTTGACCTTTCTTCGTTGTCTTTTGAAGTTTCAAAGCTTCTAGAAAGCAACATGTGATAGAAATTCTTATCACGTTGTCATCTCTATCTATCGAGAAACCACTCAAATCATGAATCCAAAATGGTTTGAATTAATTTGTCTTTTCAGAATAATTTCTTGATATAAATATGCCAAATGAAGATTGAATATTACCATCATTACTGCCCCATCTTTTTCTTGAATAAAATTGTTCACCACCTGTCTGAAATAATGATTATATCGGAAACAAAGGAAAATTTAATGATAAATAATAAACATTAATTTAAAATCAAGTCAAGTGTGCTTTATTGTGTTCCGTGTGTCTCGAATCTCTACTCATCGCGTTAACTACCATAGATAAAAACTTAGTCAAATGGACGTTAACTACCGTAGATAAAAACTTAGTCAAATGCGTTCTTTTGAGCTCCAAACTAATTGATGCATTTTTCTCATTGTTGTGGAGATTGAAATATATGAGGAAAGAAGAACTCTTCACTTTCTACCTGAAATAGCTCTGCACAAAGAATAATTTTATGGTGGATGTTATTTGGTGGAATCAGATCAGGTCGAGTCGAGCCCGGTTCAATTTTACGCTTCAAACAAATTTCGTGTCGTCCAATTAACCCACATTGATCCGAAAAACTGATCTAAACCCGATCGACACGACATGACCTAAGGGAATAGATTCGGTAAGTATAAATAAATCAAAATCGCCCTAAACTCTACACGACAAAGATAGCAAGAAAATGAGCATTTTCAAGAAAGCATAACTTAACTGGGCACTGATTTACCTAAAAAATAGATTCGAAACATTACATGTTCATAAACATTCCAAAGTAGGATGGCATAGAGCTTTCAGTTGCCAATCCCCTCAAAATCAATGCAAACAACCTGTTCTTCCATGAGAGTTCATGGCAAGCACATCCCATGGCACCAGATAGAGATGATTAAGATTTGTCCAGTGATCTAAGGAAGCAAATAAGAAAGAGAAAAAAGAAAAAGTGCTACTAAATGCAACCAAATAGCAAGGTTTCTACACACCCTCTGCACACGAGAGAACCACATGACTCCAACTCTGTTGCTGTTCATGTGGATTGCTTTGCTTCGTCTTGCCTTCCTTCTCAGTAAAACCAGTTGGCTGCTTCGGCCTTCTGCAATCTGTGCAAGGCATCAGAGTAGTCCATGGAAGGCATACTAAAAGCAGATCCATAGCACAGGTCACCGCTCATTTCATCAGATGGGTTACCAAATTGCTGCTGAAATGGCATTACGTTCTCGCGAACAGGGAATTGCTGCTGTTGCTGCACCAAGTTGCTGACTTCCTCAAGCATACCACCGATTGCTTTAGTCCCTTGCGGAAAGAAGTTGTCCTCCACTCGAGTTCTAGGTTGCAGAGGAGTTCGGCCTTCCGACATCCCTATGCCTCTCGAGTTGAAGCTCTTGTTAGCATTGAGATTCTTGTCGTACAAACTCATCAACTCGTCGATCGATCTCTGCCCATCGGAAGGAATACCCAAATCAGATGTGTTAGCAGGGATGGGGCCTGATTCAAGGGATGTCGGATTTGGTTGGGTATCGTATGACATAGAGAAACTCAGAAGCTTGTTCTCCTTCACCGGGAAGCTGTTGAAAGCCACCCCTGTTCCTTGATACTTACAAACGTATCGGTGACTGTTTCTTGCATTCCTATCCAGAAACCCATGCCGGGGATCATGATGTGGGCACTGCACATTATCACAGGTATAGATGCATTGGTTCAGCACTGATTCTGGCTCAGCAACATTTCTTTTCCGAGTAAATTCCATGTTCATCTCTTCCTTCACGGTCTTCTCTTTCCTTGCAGTGCCACTCAGATCGAAAGGATTCCCTTCAGCGTGAAGCTTGTGGTTCACTACATCCTCACACTTGCCTTCATCAACACCTTCTGCGTCGTACTCACTGCAGCTGCTAACGAAGGAGATGGATCCCGAAATGCAGCTACCAGAGGATGGCGGAAAGTAAGCTTCAGGGTGCAGCTTCATGTACATGTCCTCCTCCTGTTTGATGACAGCGAGCCATGTCGCGCTCTCTTTGGCGGTCATCTTGTCTTGCAGGCACTTGGACTGCCGGACGAGCCTACGGATCTTGTTGATGTCAGGCGACATATGCTTGATTACACAAGTCAAGACGCTAACCTTCCAAGCCTTCTTCAGATCATGAGGCTTCTTGTAGGGTGGCGGTCGTTGGTCGTTCGGAATTCCCAGCTGCGGCCACCACTCCTCTTTCCCGGTAGGCCACCATGGGGGTGCAACTCCCTTTTCCAGAGGGAACCTTCGCTGAGGTGGGTCACAGTGCTGCATCAGAGCTGACAGGAGAGAACCCAGTGTTGTATCCTGAAGCTCCTGCAACGAATGAAGGCTTGCAGTTCCAGAGCTCATTTCACTGTTGGATCCAACAATGGCATTGTCAACCTGATACTTTGCGATAGCCACAGGTCCATTCCGATCAAACCTGACCTTTTCTTTCCACCACCCTCTGAGGTTGTCGGAGGCACCACTTACAGGCTTGCCCTTTTCTGGAATTATACCGTAAACGAAGCCCTGAGCATTGCATACTTCCATCATTTTAAGCATGTACTTGAGGATTCCATCCTGCGCGCGAGACATCTTCTTTCGGAGGGCTTGATCATGGCACTGACGCTGCTTTGCCGAGTCACCTTGCTCCTTGTTCTTGCTCTTGCTCCTGCTCTGCTGCTGCTGCTGTTCCTTCAAGTGCTTCAGCCGCATCCTGTCTCTCCACAGACGATGTTCAAGCTCTTCGATGTCAACATCTTCGTCATCGCTCTCTTCATCACAAACCTCAGCAAAGTTATCCTGTGGTGGATCGATAAGATGTCCTTGTCCATTGCATTCACCGACCAAAGGCTGATGAAGGGATCCATAGCTGATGTTTTGCACATAATTAGGCTCTCCAGGATAAACCATGCCTTCCATTAATAGCCCACCCATCATTGTTAGCAGCACAGACTATCAGATCTGTGAACTCACAGCTCAAACAGAAGCACTATTCTCCTGTAACCCAAAACAAACTGTTGGTATTAAATATCAGAAATGTTGCATCCAAAGATGCAATTATGTTGTTTAAGAACACAAATATGTATATATATTATTACGATACAGAGATTACTAATTCTCTTAGAATTGAGTCCATAATTAACTTGTTTTCTCTCATATTATACATCCAACATCACTGTAAGCTGAATGACAAGAGAACAAAGAACATATAACAAAAGAGAGACATGTGGCATTAAATCCAACACAAGAAATACGGAAAACGATCAATAACACTGGCAAATGTTATCATAAAGAGCAAAACATTTCTTCTTCATATACATCTGTGATAAACAAGGAAGAAAGTATTACAAGCAAACTGATTAAGGAATCAAATTGTAAGATCCAAAAAACATGACAGAGAAATAATTGTTCTAAGGAGCTTGCCATAACAGTGTATAACACACACCAGTTATGCTGGCCACTCTCATATATACATATATATATATATATAGACATAGATTGAGAAAGGCTACTGTGTGTTTTGAGATAGAAGAATTAATTCTGGGAACCATGCTTTGCAGGAATACATGAAGCATCAAGAAAATTTATCGATCCTATATAATATTTACTTTCTCACTCACGAACACAACGAATTTCAATGAATTTATAGGCAACTAAAAATGTCCATAAGATCTTAGGCATGTCAATTCTAATGTTTTACAGAAGGCTGAATCAGAAAAGAAAATCCAACAACAACATGAACATCATTCCGTGAAATTAAAGAGCAACTAAAAACATACACACATAAGCAACAGTTGCAATCAAATAATCAACAAATGACCAAAGATCCAACGCAGATTGTACATAGTATCAAAACTGGCACCGAGTCAAGGAAATCAAATTTAAATCAAAGCCCTTTATATATTCTTGCTTTGTGACAAAAGGTTTCAAGATTATAATACAAAAAAGAAACCTTTTTCTTGATATTTAAATAATCACTCATCCACATTAATCAGGTTACTAAAAGATCAGATGTCATCAAGCTGGAGAATGAAAAGGCTCATCAAAGATGCAGGAAAGTAAAAGTCAAAGAGTAGCAGAGAGAATATTTATGGTTCATCTTCATAACTACAATCACAATCAACCATGTCCTCCGTTCCATATTTTCATCTTCATGCCAACTCAACAAACCAAAATGCATTTAATGAGAAATTGATTCCACTTTTATACAGACAGAGATAAATAAAAGGGGGAAGCAAATGCAACACAAACATTTTCAGAGTATAAAAGAAAATTTAAGTTGATAAATCATCCCCTTATCAGTAGTGAAGAGAATTAATTCGGCACTCAAAGCATCCAAATTTAATTTTAGGGCAATTTCCACTTGAATTTGATTACGAAACATTAGGATACCAATTTTGACTGCAGATCTGATCGTTGACTTTGCAATCAATGACTGATCTCAGCGGAAGCCTCAAAATAGAACGGTGAGGAGATCGTCAGACAAGAACTCGGAATATTAAAACAAGAACAGG